GAAAGAGGTAGAGAACAAGATCACCCACGAGCGTTTCAGGAGCTGGAAAATGCCAGAACGTTTGTAGGGACACAGGAGTTCCCAAAAATATCCCTTGTTGGCCTCCCACAGAGCTGGACGTGTGTCGGTACCCGACCACACGCCCAAGGCCCTTTGGCAGTAGGGTTATCGACAGGTCGAACACGCATCGCGGACAGAACGGGTCAGAACCAGGTCTTAGTAACGTCCTTCCCTCCTTAGGGACCCCAGCGGGGAGGATCAGCTCCTTGGGCACCCGATTGTCGCTGCAAAGACCTTTCCCAGGAGGAGGCGAGGTGACAGCACGGCAGGATGCTGGCAGGGAGGGGAGGACACGTGTCTCCCGGCAGACCCACTGGCACGGAGCCCCTCTCCGTCCGACAGACGCACCAGCCCGCATCCGATTTTAGCAGCGAGGATAACAAACAGGTTCTGCGTTCGGACGATTTTACAAGAGTGTTGCTGTAACTAACAACTCCACTTGTAGCAATGCTGAAAAATACCCCTTACCGAAAAAGTCCTGAGAACACGGCTGGCCGGTATCTGTGATGGAGAAGGAAAGTGGTGGCACGGGCATTTAACCAGCCTCGAGGGCTCCAGCTTTCCCTCCCTGCTCCCGCAGCCCGCAGTGCCTCCAGGGTAGCTCCCAAACAGCTGGTGGACCACGAGAAGCGTAGAGCCCTTCCTAACCCCCAGCCCAACACTGGGTTTGTAAATCTTAATTTAATTTTGTTATTTAGCAACCGTGGTTCTCCTCTGACATGAGCAGAAATCAGGGCTTCAGTCGCTCCTTTTCACCTTCCTCTGGCTTCATCCAACCCAGGAGGGAGTTTGGGGTAAACACCTACACCTTCCTCACTGAGCTGTACTCGGGCGTAGCCTCTGTCCTCAGCTTTCCATCCCCACGAGCCCACAGTCAGCTCTGTAAGCAAGACTATCATTTTTTGCTTAGAAAGACAATTATTCACAAGGACACTTCTTGCTAGCAGGATATTTCTGAGCTAGAAGTAATTCCATAGTCTGTTTTTTTCTAAAAGTTGCCCAGACCAGGTTTTTAATTGTTAATGCATAAGAGAATAAGTAAAAACCATTCGGATGTTTCTCTGAGGCTGTGATTTTCTAGAGACAGCGAGGTCGTGGCGAGACCGTCTGCCTCCCGCTCCTCTGCCGCAGACCACCGTGCTCCCCTCCCCCGGTGGCATCCAGCCCCCCCCAGCCTGTAGATCACAGAGCGAGAGCTGGGCAGCGCGGGGGTGGCTCCTCGCAGGATCTTCACAAAGAATTAGGGCTCAGCTGGGGCATTTTCCCTAAGTCTGCCAGGTCCGCTCTGTGCTGCCGCCCAGCCACCAGCCTCCCCCAGCAGTGGTTGTACGGCAATGACAGTGGAAGTATTAAGTTTATGAAGCACTTTGGGAAGCTTAGGGATGAAAGGCACTATTGACACACGAGACACTTTAAGTAGGTATTAAATAACCTCTTTCGAGCCTTTTTGGTTAACCATGTTTGGGCAACTGGTCCTTTTACACCAACAGCTACAACTTTTCAAACAGGATTCACTTCAGTGTCCAAATAGGGATTTCTGTTTTTTTCCCGTCTTACCATAACACACACATCCACGTTTCTGCTCTGAGTCTTTTAACTGGCTCACTAATTGCAAAATCTTGCAAGGACGCTACGCTTCAAGCCTCAAAGGGCATACAGGCATCCTGCTTGGGAGGAAGAGGTCTGGTCAGATTATAGGGCAGGAAGAATTTCACATATGTTCCTGTTCCTGTAGTATTTTCCTACGAATGTGTAGAAAAGGAGCTGATAGAGTAACGCATGGCAGGTTTCGCATTCGGGGTGACAGGAGGGCTCCGGCAGTGCTGCTTCACTCTGCACCTTAATTTATGAATCCTGATGTTCTTTAAAAACTCCAATTAATCCTCATACAACCCTGCAGTTGGGCTCCCATCAGGAAAGCTTCAGGGGAGCAGGAGCTTGTGCCGAGGCAGGCAAATCAGCAGAAGGCTTGAAAGCAGAGCCTGGCGTCCTCGCCTCTCCCTGCCCTGGCGATGGTGCACCCGCCGGCACGGGGAGGTGACAATTCACTGTCACAGTGCCAGCCATCCCGCCGGGAACCCGCATGGGCAAAATCCTCCGACGCGACGCTACCCACTGCCGCCGCTGCCAACCCGCACGAAAAGGACGAGACGCCAAAGCCCACAGCACAGGGGTGGCTGTGCCGCACGCCCAGCGCGCAGACCCCGGCCCTTTGTACCGCACGTTCCCCCCCCAAACAAACCCAAACCCCCTCCTTCCCTCCGTGCGCTAACCACAGAGCGGGCTCTTAGCTGGGGTTTTATGGTTACATTCCTCGTACGTCTCACTAAATACACATGCTATAATTACTTTTCACTGTAGATTTATGAGCAAGCTTTACTAGTCATTATTAGATTTGCTTGCTGTTTTGAATGACGTCTCTTAGCATTTATGGGCATGCCGATTCATTAGTGTCTGGAATCGCAGGCATTGCCAAGATATTGTCACCCAACGATGTTCACGCTGCTCCTGCGCTGCGTCCTCTGGCTTCGTCACCCTTGCTTAACGCTGGGACGGAGACGTCTCTTTTCAAGCAGGCGTTGTGCACAACAGCAGAACAGTCTCTCCCCCTCTCTGAGCGAACAGACCCTGCTCATCAAAGCACCGCGCCGACCGCAGCGCCGTCGCTGTGCCGCTGCCGCTCGGAAGCTCGGTTCGCAGCCGTCGGCAGCAGAGGGCTGCGAGTTGCAAAAGCCCGGGAACCAGAAATTAAGCACCTTTAGGCAGAAAAGCAGCCTACCTTGTGATTCTGGTAGGAAGTCACCGATATAAAGGACGTCTCCGGAAAAACGTGGGTGCAGAAGGCTGTGTTCTTCGACCCGAAAGCATTGTTCTCATCCGCCTTCACAATATGCAGCCGTGGTTGGTATTTATGCATTGAATTAAGAATGATCTGAAAAACAATTAATGCTAAAATGAGAAATCCATTTTAAAAATTAAAAAAAAAAAAAAAAAAAAAAAAAAAGCCATGGCTATTCGACAGACTTTACTAGCAGGACACAAAAGCCCACTAGTGCTCAGCTGTAGCTTTGCTTTCAAATTAGAGGGGAAAATTACATTAAACGCCCAGGAAGCCAAGACAGAAAAGGTATCTGCTCCTCTGGCAAGCAGAACTTAAAGCTTTCCTGGTAAACTCTCATTTTCTTATTGCTATTGGATAGAGTCAGTCTGGGTGGAAAAAAAGCCATAAATTTTTTTCCCAGCTCATGCTGAAGCTGTACAATATGTATAATTCACCAGCAGACTGGTCCATAAAGACTCCTAATAAATACTTTACTGAGCTGAAAAATACACAGTTTAGCAGAGGCAGAAAAAAATCACAGAAACCACAGGGGGAAAAAAAAGCAAGCGATTTTTCTTTTATCTGCTGGTAAAAGTAAACTACAAAAGAAGAGATTTATTTTCTTTTTTCCTCCTGTTTGTGGAGCGGCTCCGCACGGGTGGCTGGGTGCAGGCACCTCTCTTTCAGGACAACAGCTGGAGCACTGGGGGCCAAGCGGGGCTGCCCAAGCGGGGAGCGGCCGGGCCAACCATCCCAGCCCGGCCCCGCAGCATTGTGCTGCCACAAAGAAGGGATGTGCCCAGATGCTACAGAAGAAAATTATTTTAAGAAATGGAATTTCTTCTAAGAAATGGCATGTTTTTAAGAAAAGTCATTATTCCTTTTACTGGGCAAAGAAGAAATTTTGCTTTCTTCTTTTCTTGGCATAACCCTTTTCAATTCCTTCTTCCCGCTCCCAGGCTGGCTCATTGAGCCTGTCCTCCCCACGCCCGGCCGGTTGCAGGGACACGGGGTTCTCCAGCCAGGCTGACTGCTCTCCCCTGATCGGGGTGCCCAAAGCAGCCTGCAAGGACACGTCCGTCCCCGACGCAGACGCAGGCAAAGGGCCACGCAGGGACGACCGCAATGGGTGATGTCTTCAGCTGGCAGTAGATACATGGGTAGACAGATGGATTGGTGGATGGATGGACGGACATATGGATGGATGGATATACAGACAGATGGAGGTACACGATGCAGCAGAGCAGCGTCAGTTGACACTAATTGTGGAGCTAGCCAGCTTAAAATGAGAATTACTAAGAAACAGAAGACATTTGCTCCATGATTGGCTTTTGTCTCCAGGATCCCCTCCTATTTCATGCCTGTCCAAGGAGAGCTCGCGGCGGCGGCACAGCTCTGTGCACTCCAGCTGGGACACGAGACAGTGCAGGGAGCTTGTGCTCTTTAAACCCCTTCGTCTGGCTGCACGTAACTGCCCACAGTAGCTGGCTGCATTATATACCACTTAAATGCAATTTTTATTGTTGACATTTTCCAGACAACCCTCCCTGCTCCCCAAGAGAGAGAAGGAGGAATTTTTGGCATTTTATCAGCTTTGCATCAAGCCTCTTAACCACTTTGTGGCTGTTGATGTGCAGGGGGTAGATCTGAGAGGGCTGGCTCAGGTTTGGGTTTAGAGCCTTTTCTCTGCTTTCATATATCACCCACTCATAAAACAAAGCCAAGACAAATAATGCCAGAGGGCCAAGACCTTCATAAGGAGGGGAATTTTAATTTTCAATAATTAAGAGCTGAGCCCAGCTGATAAATAATGATTTTCGGAGCAGAAGCTAGGGTGTGCTAAGCTCTCCTCACCTCCTGTCCCAGACTGCCCAGGTCTAGCAAGGACGGGTTGCTTGTCCCCAGAGTCAGAGAAAGTCAACAGTAGGACAAAGAAAACAATCTTAAATTGAGATTTCCTAAAGGGAATATGAGGACCCCCAGTTTTGATACTCTCTGAATGAACAACCTGTATTCCCCCTCCAAAGGAGTATCCACCGGGCTGTAATGACCCCCTTAAAAATCTTTTTCTTTTCTATTTTTTACAACCTCTTTAAACCCTGCATGTCCAAACAATTTCTAAAATGAAGAGGACATTTGGAGCCTGACAGACACACTCAGGGAAGGAGTTTTGACAGATGCTCAAGGTTATAGTTGTGGCTGCAAACCTGCCTGGAGGTTTATCGTGAGCCGCTTGGTATCTGTGGGATGTTTGTGGGGAGGGAAAAATCCCCTAAATGGCTAAATTTAGCCCACTGCCTTTACAAGGTTGAGCGTTTCTGTGCCTTGCACTGAAGCGATTATTTGCCCACATGTCTCGGTGTAAGCAGCCGTTGGAAAGTGCTGAATTTCTTCACGTGAGGGGACTATGAAAGAAGACCCCCTTGAGATGTGCCAGATCAAAGCCGAACAGCCATCACTGAGCGCAAAACATGATTAATAGACGTGAGAACCGCAGAGCCCTCAGGTTAACTTCATCGAGTTGGTGTCTACTGACGCGGATGGGGAACAGCTTCCAGTAAAGCAAAGCCCCACAAAAATGCGCCGTTCTCATACAATGAAGAAAAATGCCTTCAGCTATTTGGCAGAGCGGTCAGGACGTCAGGTTGGGGATGAAAATGGGATGTTGCGGTGCTGTTTTGGATGGCCTCCCTGTGCCACTGTATGGGTGATCTCTCCCATCTTTTTTTGGGCGGCAGTGACCACTCTCCGTATACTCACAATCAACATTTCACAGGCCTGAAAACAAGAACTCATGTCCAGAGGCTGTGTCTGCATGTGCATCCTACTTACTGGTGCTTGGTGTAAGCCTCGTGCAGTCACAAACCCATCACCTCATTCAAAAAAGCCTCCCAACCCTTAGCTGCAAAGCACTGTGCCTGCGCAACGCGAAATGCCAACAATTCAGGCTAAATAGTTTTCAAGGCTGCTGTGGAAAACTGGTCACTGGCTAAAAATACACAAAACAAATGTAAATTCCACTCCGATGACGAACATCAGTGGAAAGATTAACTTGAAGAATTGTGTCAAAAATGAGAAGTATTTTAACTGACGGGACAGAGCATGGCTGCTGCTGCTCGGTGCTGGGCAGGCTGGGCTTCAGCAGCAGCACCGAGCAGGATGGAAGGTGAGGTAGGAGCTCTCCGCCTCAAAGATGATGCTAAAACAAGAACTGTGTATCTTCCTGCACTTATCTTCTTCATTGCGAGGGCATGGGGCGATTAAGTCAGCATCAGACACTGCCACATCCATTTTTAAATTGTTTTCGGTACAAAATGGAGGTGTTTGAAATAGGTTAGCTACAAAAAGAGAAACAGCATTTGGCTTGTCTTGCCACTGAAAATAGTTATGGGTGTATTGGCTAGAGGGGAATTTTAATGTCATAAGGGACAAGGATACAAAATCCATAAGGGAAGCTGGAAGACCATGTCTGCGGAGCAGCACTGAGGCACACTGGCTCAGTAACTGAAAGCCTCTCTCTGCAGCTTGGTGATTCTGTCTATTTGCCTATGAAAGAACCAGCTCAACTGCCACGAAATGGCAGCATGTTTCTGAGTCTAATAAATACAATTTTTTTTCTGTATTTAAAAAAACAAAACAGAGACAACAAAAGGTAAATCCAGCAGATATACCAACCAGAATCCCCCAATTAGATGGATAACCCCAAATTTAGGAAGTGGATATTAGCTCGACATCCCAACATGGGTCCCCGTGGAGGTGCCGTCTCCCACCGCCACCACCCAAGCACTCTCTCTGCCTTGAAGATCTAGTTTTTCAAGAAACAAAATGGCTGCTAAAAAATACCGAAGTGGGTAACGGCAACCTTCTTTACGAGCATCAGTTTGGACAGCACCAAAAGGCTGCGGGGACCCTCCTCGGGCTGCACCGGGCGAGCCCCAAACATCTCCGCTGGTGTTTGAGCGATGTTTTTCGCACGTGCAGACCAGATTGCGAGTGAGACGGACTCCGAAGTCACATGTGAGCTTACACAAACAGATTTTTTTTTTTTTACCCCGCCCCCCCTCCATCTCCCTCCTTTGTGCTGATCACAGAGTTGGCAGCTGGAACTGAGGTGGGAATACAACTCAACGTCTTTATTTTTCTGGCATTCCCTAGTCAGCAACAAATGTCCGAAAAAATGGTGTCATTTGGTCCTTCCATTTAATTTTACTTAGGAAAACATGCTCCTTTTGCATCTAATCTCGCTCACTGCTGAGTAATGTCGGCTTCGGGGCTTGAAGACGTTTGCCGGTTTGCAGGATCGAGCCCAGAAGCTTAGCGGGATGATGGTACCGCATTGCTTGTCGCAACGCAAACTTCCCTTGAAATCACCAGTAAAATGTATTTACTTTCATATGAAATTTGGGGAGTTGATTTAAGAGCGCTCCCTGTTTCGCCAAGGTATCAAATGTCATATGATGCAGTGGTTGTTATGGCAACAACCCTTTTTATATTGAATAGTAAATGGCTACGAAAAAGCCACATAATTTTATGGCTGCTCCCGAGGGATTGCATAACTAATAGAAAATCTCTCATTTTAATATATTTTCTGCTGCTTTCTTCCTTCCTTCTATTCTTTTTAAAGTGAAAAAGCCTTTGAGCTGAGGCTGGCCCCTGTCCCACACCAGGACACTGAGCTGGGGAGCAAAGGGCCAGAACAAAATCCTGGCGATTCAGTCTCCCGCGTCGAAAAAAAGAGCACGTCAATCAATGAGGCTCTTCTAGAATCGCAGCCACTGCTGCAGTTCATCTCAGTTAGAGCATTTGATGGTATAAGCCATCCCAACCTAACTTTTCTTTACGAGTAAATGGTTCAGAGATGGTTCCCGGGACACAAAACTTTCTATGATTCTATGATTCTATGAGCGGGATGTCTCCAGGGACGGATGCTGGGAGCGCAGTGCCACCGCCCTCACTGCATCCACCACTGGAACTTGCAGAGCAAAGCAGTTCAAATCGTAACATCACTCAGGTTGGAAAATACCCTGAAGATCATTGAATTCAACCAAATAAAACACTATATTCAGACAACCTCTACAGCTAGCTCTACAATTACCGAAACCTCATCTTCTGTAATTTCAGTCACCTCCAGGGATCGATTGACCTTGCCCTGCCAGCAGCCAGGCCGCTGGGCAGTGGGAATGGGCTCTCCCTGAAGCCGGCCGGGCTGCTCCCCACCGGGCTGCCGGAGGAGGAGCCTCCCAAACCCACACGTTTGTCCTGGCAATCCGCACAATGGGGGAAAAAAAGAAAGGCTGGAAAATCCTGGGAAAAGTTTCAACATGAGCTCAGACAAATTGTTCCTTCCGAGAGGGCCAAAGCTGAGATTTTCTTTCTTTTTCTTTTATTTTGTTTTCTCAGTCCTTTTTCATCTAATGTCAGCCGAAATTCACGGTAGGATTTCCTGGCTGCTCGACACAGCGCTGGTGCGCAGAAGCCCTTCCCTTCCGTGCTAGCTCGTGAGCACTGGTTTCTGACCGGGTGGGACAGGGCGGTCCCCAGGGCTGTGATCTGGGGACAGCCACTGCTGCATCCCCCGCGCTGCTGCGTGGCCTCGTCTCACCCGTGGACGCCAGAGCCGTGACATCTTCCCTTGCCCTTCCCCAGGCCAGCTCCCCACCCGCGACTGGCAGAAGGTCTCAGGACCTGATTCCGGTTAAACTTGACTAAAATCCACTGCGTTTGACTCCTAGAAACCAGTAATGTGACAACAAAAAGATTTCACGCAAGAGGTGTAAATCTTTTTATCAACCCAAGAACTCCACTGGTCGCTCCCTACCCAGCCAGTTCATCGGCACCCGCGGATCTGCTCATCGCTGCGAAGCACGCGCCCTCCCCCGCCGCACACAGCCGTTTTGTTGCGCCGCAGAAACA